ATTATGATTCAGCTATTCAGAAAAACCCAGAAAAAGCAGATTATTATAATGGTAAAGGTATAAATTAATAATGAATATTTTTTTTTAGCGATTGCCTTAAAGTCAATAAATAGATTTGAAGAAGCATTGGAGTATTATGATTTAGCTATTGAAAAAAACCCAGAAAATGCAAATTATTATTACGACAAAGGTATAATGATAGTTAATTAATTATAGCTGATATTCTATGCAATATGAATAGATTCGAAGAAGCCTTGAAGAATTATGATTCAGCTATCCAAAAAAACCCAGAAGAAGCAGATTATTATAATGGCAAAGGTATAAATTCATGATAAATATTATTTTTAGCGATTGCCCTAAGGTCATTGAATAGATTTCTAGAAGCATTAGTATGTTATGATTCAGCTATAGAAAAATATCCAGAAGAAGCAGAATATTATTAAGGCAAAGGTATATTAATAATAAATTTTGTTATTTAGCCATTGCCTTAATGTCAATGAATAGATTTGAAGAAGCATTAGTATAATATGATTAAGCTATTGAGAAAAACCCAGAATAAGCAGAGTATTTTTATGGCAAAGGTATAAATAACTAATGTACTTTTCTTTTAAGCAATTGCCCTATTCAAAATTAATAGATTTGAAGAAGCTTAACAATATTTTGATTCAGCCATTCATAAAAACCCTGAACAAGCAGATTATTATAATGTCAAAGGTGTGAATTCAAGATAAATATTTTTTAGCGATTGCATTATAAACAATGAATAGATTCGAATCAGCCTTGAAGTATTTTGATTAAGCTATTCAAAAAAACCCAGAAAATGCAGATTATTATTACTGCAAAGGTATCGTGATAGTTAATTAATTATAGCTGGTAATCTAGAGAATATGAAAAGATTCGAATAAGCATTGATTAATTACGATTCTGCGATTATGAAAAACCCAGAAGAAGCAGATTATTATAATGGCAAAGGTATAAATTTATAATAAATATTTTTTTAGCGATTGCCTTAAGGTCAATAAATAGATTTCAAGAAGCTTTGGAGAATCATGATTCAGCTATTCAGAAAAACCCAGAAAATGCAGATTATTATAATGGCAAAGGTATAAATTAATAATCAATTTTTTTTTTAGCGATTGCCTTATACAAAATGGATAGATTTGAAGAAGCTTTACAATAATTTGATTAAGCTATTCAAAAAAACCCAGAAAAATCGGATTATTATAATGGCAAAGGTATAAATTAATAATGAATATTTTTTTTAGCGATTGCGTTAAAGAATATGAATAGATTCGAATCAGCCTT